TGTGGTCCCTTACAAGATAGAACCAAGAATAAACACTATCATAAATGACATAATAATTAGAACCCTATATTACTGTGATGATACAGTTTATTAACTTTGAAATTGAGATCTAAAAAGATATAAGAAATGAAGGTAAGAGCTTAAATGTTTTCAGTAGAAAGATTGAGATGTACTTGAATAAATAACAAAGTGGATGTAGAACTAAGTTCTCTTGAAAGTCGTATAGAAAGCTCAAGTATTTGCGTATCTTTCTTTCTTCAAAGAAGGGTTAAAGCTCATGTGCAATCTAGTTTGAAAATAAGCATTATACATGCATGTTTGACCAGTGCAAAAGACAATAACTGGGTCCAAACATCCAATGTTCACATGTGGTCCAATGGTTGATTGTTAAATAGGTTATTTCGCTTGACAATGCTGGATGCTACTGTAATAAATCAGTTATTCTGCTATAAAATAGTCAAGACTGACAGAACAAGTGGGATGTCAGGCAACTAATATCGCCGATCTATGTCAAGGTCAAGCAAATAGCTCCGAACATGTAGGTGTCACATGTTTCACGTACTCTTCACCATTCACCTTTTTTGTCTTACATGGTTCATGGACAAAGAATGCTCAAATACCCAAGGTCATAGGCTAAAAGAAATAATCTACAAATCAGGCACAACTAGATAGATTGACAATTGATGATCTAGTTCTAAATAGTTTCCTAAGTGCCAGTCTACAGAGGTTCTTTAATCAATTTAAGTTACAGAAGTGACCTAGAGTTACATGATTTTTTTAATTGCTCAAACTTGTTCAAGGAGTCTCTGATCACTTGATTTATACTTTATCAACTTTGATCCAACTGGGTATCTTGACTTCATTTGGCTTCAGTGAGCTTGGAGCATCTTCAGTCTTTTCTCTTTCTTGATGCTACATTATAAGCCCAGTCCATTCATCCTCCTCTAGAAGGTGTGGCTTAACTGGATCAAGTCACAAGATTCATGTTGTTGATACCCATTATTTGTTTCGTTATCTTCAAAAGCAAAACGTATGCCTGTGCTGGCATATTAGGTGAACGCTAACTTTTAGATGTTAAGGAACCTCTTAAATGAAAGGAACCTCTTAAATGACCCAACCATTATATCAAAACTTCAGAATTTTGGTGAGAGTTGAGGGTTGTAATTTTATATTAGTTCTAACAATGCCCCCGTAGATTGAGTGTCCTTTTTATGGGCTGAAACATGGACTCACTAAGCGGTGTCAATTTTTAGAAACTTCGCTTTAAATTTGTGGCATGTGGGATTTTAACTGGGGTTGCTCTGATGCCATCTTACCTGACCCCTCCATTACATCAAAACTTCGAAGTTATGGTGAGGGTTTAGGGTTATAATTTAAAATTAGTTTTAACAAATACAGTCATCAATGAAATATTTTAACTCCTGTTATTGATGTCCACTTTGCGTGTGATATCCAAGATTGGTGTAGAATGACTCCTATTAAGGAATATTCGTTTTCATGAAATTTCAGATTCTTGTTCCTTAGTTGAATATCCACTACTTGAACAAATACCTTTCATATTATCTTTACTTGGTGACACTTGTAGTACCTTTTCCATCTACGAAGATGTTCACTCTAAAAGGGGTTTTCTTAATTATATATGTCAAGTAAAGTTTGAGCTGAATGAGCATGAAGCCTGATTTATTTGTTTTAATTTAAACAAAATAGGCATTCCGATTTCTCTTTCTTGGGCACTATTTGTTTTAATTGAAACAAAATAAGCATTCTGATTTCTCTTTCCTGGGTTCATTGATGGTTTCTTATTTGAGAATTAACGAGCTTACTTATCCCATTGAGTTTTACTTTATTTATAATTTTATTTGTTCCCCTGTTACTTTTTTCTGCTCAAAGATACTATTACTTAGTGTTGATTTTGTGATTCCACTAGGCATTGGTAATATGTAACCAGTTAGCTTCTTACAAATAAAGTCAAGCCATTACATGAACTCATACAGCTGTTTTACAGGTTATGGATTCACTTCTCTGCTGCATATGTTATTACAGGGGTTGTATGCTATCTGCTATATATTGTAAGCCAAATTAATTACTTACCATATTTCTTTTTTGCCTAAATTTTCGAATAATGCAAGAAGTGTACTCCATGAGATATTTGAAGTGTCCAGATTGAAAATGTTGGAGGCTTTCTCTACTATTATATCGATGAGCATCCATCAAAACGATGGTGATCCTTGTGAGTTGTTGCCAAATTCTTAACCAAGGCAATTATGGGTTGTATCTTAACATCTATATAAGTCCAATCAGAAGGTAATGAGACTTATTGGATAGATCCAGGGGTTTGAGCTTATTGACGCAATGTCAATCCTCCAAATTTCCCTTGACTAAGAAAAATCCCATGTAAATAGGGAATTTGTACACAGATCCACTAATTCCGACATGTTAGATGGATTTATGATGATACATTCGACTTTTTTGACACGGGGTTGCTTACTGTTCATGTTTTTGTTGATTTGTTTTCCTATGAAAGAATGATTTCTGTTTTGATAGTTATGTAACTCACCTTCTATTTTATCCTTTCAGGAGTACAAATTCATTTACTTTAAGAGGCTTGAGCTTTTCAATACATCGAAACCGCAACCTCATCACTTCACAATTCTGGTTCGAGGAATTCCTTTACATGATGGGGCCTCCCTCAATGATATTGTTGAGAGATTTTTCATGGAGTTTCATCCACTTACATATTTGTCACACATAGTTGTTCACAGGACGAGCAAGCTACACTCTCTCATTGTGAGCATAATGTTTAAATGGGAACTAAATAAATGCATTCTTTATAAATTGTTCTGCTTTAATGTTTAACTTTGAATTAAATAAATGCATTCTTCATAAATTGTTCTGCCTTCATTAATTAGGGACATATAAACAAATTCAACAATCATCTATCATATTTGAGCCTTTTAAAAACATTTTCCTATGTCTATATCTTTCTATTGGTTTATCTTTTAACGCAATGCATATAATTGTTAAGTATTATGGCCAGGCTCACTTCTCTTCCTTTCTTTTAGTCCCACATTACTTAAAATACTAGAACTACTCCACTCTTGTATAGAAACACCTCAATGCAATAAAGGATAGTGTCCCTTTCCCTCAAAAGCTCTATTCTAATCATGATATTGAGCCATCTTCTTCATTCTTCATCCTAGAGAGACTTCTTTCTTCTTCCTCGATCTTGAGGCTGCCGAGGGGATTCCGTTGTAGACTTTATCTCTGCACTTTCCCTTGGCTGCTTCCACACCGGCTTCGACATCGACTCTCTTCAACTCACACACTGCCCATCACAATCTCTATCTCGCAGAAACCCTAGTTGCAGCCCCTGCAAAAGCCCTAACCACCATCACGAAAACCTAGCTCTTGCAACCGCCATGAGGCCAACCTACCGTCGCAAACCTTAGCCTAGCATTGCTCTACCACCATAACCCTCCCTTAACACTCCTCTATAGCGAACACAACACAAACTTAGCCCTCGCAGCCCAAAGCGCCAAATACACCGCCTTCAATCACCACCTCATCAGCTCACCTCCATCAAACCTCTCGAGCAGACTCCCTAAATTATTGACAACTGCCATCACTGCTTCCCCCCTTTGAACATCCAATGAACATACAACCCCCTTCTCTAGTTGTCCTACTTGAAACCTTCAACCATCGTCTCCTTGACCACATCAATCAATCTCCACCCTACAAGCGTTTCAATATCTTTCACTTAACTCTTCCCCATTCGTTCGCTCACATGCAATCAAGATCCTAATCCTGCAGTTAGGACCTTCATCCCACCTGCTAGAGACATGCTCGCGAGGTGTTTGATGAAATGTGTTAGCATCTCCCACCTCGTAGATCAGCTCCTTCCCCACCTCCACTATCCTTGCTGCCAAGCTCTGCCACAACAACCAAACAATACCATCACGAGTCCATGACGACCTCCATTGGCCGCTGCTAGTGCCAGCTATCCTCATTGTCACGCTCGATAAACCCTCAACCCTCACAAACCCTACCTAGTCCTATTGAGGCAATCACCCCTGGCGCGCCCAATGCGCGAGGCGATGTGGGTTGGTGCAGTTGCGCCAGAGGTGGGGCGCACCAAAGCATGCGCCCCAGAAATGATACAATCTTTTTAATTGGGTTTTGGGTATGAAACCTGATATTTTCTTAAGCCCAATTGATTCTTTAGGGTTTTGTTTCTATTTTTCTGCCGCTCTCTCTCGTATCTCAATCGTTTGCCTCCTCTCTCTCTCATCTCGACTGCTCGCCGCTCGCTCTCTCCCATCTCCGGTGACCAGCGGTGAAGCCACCGACGATGCTCAGAGATGCCATTGACAACCACATCTCCGGGTAGCTGTGAAGTATTCTTATTTTCTTTTGTTTTTTTGAAAATATACTATTTTCTTGGTTTCTTTTTTCATCTTTGGTTTCTTTGGTGATAATCTACTTTTTTTGACTTTTTACACATGTTTAATTCATCTAATAGACTCTTTTTGATGTTCTAAGCATCTAGCTTACTCTTTTTGATGTTTTATTTCTCAAAAGTTTGAGAATTGAGATATTTGATTTATTCTTGCTAGTTCATTCTCCATCTCTTCATGTTTAACCTGTAAAAAGAAAAAAGTAACTAGTAACTTAGTTAAGTATGCAACTATAAAAGTTAGTTGAAGAAACAATGATATTATGGAAAAAATTGTTCATATATAGATGAAAGATTCCAAACATCTGGTTGAGTCTCTCTGAATTATCACTTCAAACATGTTTATGCTAACTAGCAATTAGAAGTGCTCACTCGAAAATTATGAACAATCATGTTTCATACGCGTATATCATATGTTGGAAAAGATCCGTTTCAGGTGTGTGCATTGCTTCAGTGAGGCGCGTGCATCGCAGTGCACCTTGTGCATGGTGCGCATAAAGAAACTTTGCGCCCTGCATTGCGTCTTGAGCCTCGGTAACATTGACCCTACGGTCCCTACCCTTGCACAATGCCACTGATGTCTGTTGTTGACCCAAGTTTTGCTGTTAAACACCAGTCACACGTCCCCCACCTCACCAAGAATGCCCTGACCACTCGCAATGCCTTGCTTCCGCTAAAGCATTTGTCATCTGCTGTTGCTGGCAATACAAATGCCTTAGCCAATTGCCATTGACCGCCTTCGTGTCTGCCAACAGCAGTAACATCAGCCACCGATGCCTTCAAACGTTGCAACTACCATCCTCTACCTCAACGATGTCATTATCGTTCTCTACCCATACCGCTGCACGTGCCCTCATGCTACAAGCTCTGTTGCAATCATCTCTAACACCATTGCTGCTAGTTCGTTGTCCTCTGGCAATCTCCGACCTCACGTGATCTCTGCCTCACAGCCCTCTTAGAAGACTCACCGCGCCTCTTCTCCTTAACATCAACACAATAATCAGCATTGTATGTTGTTGTTCCTCAATGCTTTAGTGCCACGCGAAACCAACCACATCAGCTACATTCAGCACCACTGTCAACCCTTTCGCGTCTACAGCAACCGTCCTCATCTTTGATGGCCGCTAAATGGCCTCTAATAAGCTACACAAGGCGTTCGGCCAAATGCTTGTGAGACATCTCTACCGCAATCTTAACCATGACCTCGCGCCCCTAGCCAAGCTTCCCTCTTGCCAGCTTCTCGACCACCACCT